TTATAAAAAGATAAAATATTACACATGGAGGTAAAGTTCTTTTCAGCCGTAATTCCCAGCCCAGGTCCAGTCCCTAGTTCCCCAGAGGTAATCTATTTGGAGCAGACCTTTGCAAGCCATATTCTATGTACATACATCTTTAAATATGAGGGCAAATGGCTAATATCTATTAAATTTAAAACCTCAGAGCCTCGTATATATATGTGCAAGGAGGAATGTACAGCTTGGTTCACTGTTCACTGCATTGTTGCCTATAATTTTGAAAAAATTGGAAACAGCTTAATGTCCTTCAGTTGTGAATGACTAAATAAACCATGGTATCTATTCTATGAATGTACCATGATAAGTCCATATATGTGCTAACTTGATATGCTTCTCAATTTCAGAATATGTGCCATGTGATAACATTGATATTAGTAATATAGAGTTCACTGATTCAAGGGCTATGCTAGGCATGTGAAAGCTGTTTGACTATTTGAATGAAGAGGCAGACAGGCACAGGTCACTCAGAAAGCCCATAAAGCATGTGCACCAGCCAGAGACTGTAACTTCAAGTCTGTAGCTTAGTTTCTTCTTCCTGTTCTTTCCTCTTCCTCCTTCAAGCTCTTCTTGTGGATGAAGTTTCCCAAGATAGCCAGCCCCTATTCAGATCATTTTCAGTGAAGGGAGAAAGCCATGGAATGTAGCCATAGCTGCTTATAAATGCAGAATAATGAAATCTAATCTCCCATCGAGATATGTGGGAACCAAAGACTGGTATATGGTGCTCCAGGAGCCTGGGCCAGGCTGGTTCAGGTCAAGACTTACACTTGGTTTGCAGTTCAGGGAACAGAGTGTGATGTGAGGGACAAATGGGAAAATCCTAAATGTGACCTGAGCTGACCATTATTAATTCAAAGAGACTTGGTGAATCCAAAGAGAAGTGATGACTCTAAGGAATCAATGAAAAGACAAGAAACTTCAAGTAGAGGTTGAGAGGTAGAAGTGAAAGATTTCCTGGGCCAAGAGAAGCAAAGTGACCCAGATGCTTTTGTAGATGCCTTTAGGGAAGGAGATGTTCTGGGCAGCAAGCTAACTTGGGCAAAAGACTATTATTGCTTCTTTTTAAAACCTAAAACTCTTTGTTGTGTTTAAATATCTTTTAAAAAACTATTATGTAAAAATGAGATTATATGACTATACTTTGAGCATATGAAAACATCTACATCATTGTATGTAAACATAAGCCCCCAAACTAGTCATTTTTAGAAATAGATTGTATTTTTTTTTTAAAAAATCATTATCATGGTCTTATGATGACTTTTTAGAAATGTGGGTTAAATTCAAACCTAAACCCAAAAACTTCTTTATATCTTGCTTTTCTAGACCATAGTCAGCATTAGGAATGAACTGTGGCGGACTTGTGAATCCATTAATGCTCTCCATCGAGAAAGAAGGTAGGAACCATGTGTGTGTACAGATACTGACAGCAGAGACAAATAGATATCATTTCCCTTTGCTTTTATAGAAAAATTCTCTACAAAGATTTTACCACGCTTTTTTTTTTTTAAATTTGGGAGATATTTCTTAAACAGAGAAACCCTACAATTTTAATATAAAGGTTAAAGGAGGATTTTGGCTCTATTTGAGTAGTTAAGCATAACAAAAATTACCTGGCTAATTATATTAAGTTTTGAGTTTCGATTGCTTGATTTTATTCCTTGAAAGCTGGTTAAGCATATTCAGTGAAGTATTGATTCTCTGTGCATCTTGTATGCACGTTTTGCCTGCTTCTAAAGAAATCAGTATATTTTCTCCTACAGCATTTAACTTTCTACCAGGTTTATTAGATTTGTTGGAAATTGTCTACCAACTTCTTACTGTGTCTCAAGGGATTAATTATTCCTCGAGGTCCTGTCTCCTATTGTCATTCTGTTAGAAGAATTCCTGGCTCCTCAGTAAGAAGTTCTCCCTGAGGGAAGACCTTTGTTTTTAGGCACAATGTTTGGTGTTTCATAGCTGCTCAATAAATTTCATATATATGTATACACACACACACATACACAAATGTATGATGAGATGTGCTTCATAATATAAGTGTATGAAAGATTAGGAATATTTTTTACTGTGATAACTCATGAAAAGAAGCTTAATAATACTTTTAAAGTAGTTTAGTAATTTCAATGTTAAGAGCAATTTTAATCTTTTTCATGACATAAGAAAATGAAATTAGATAAAATAAGGAAAGTAGTATAGCAATAAACAGGCAATTTTAAAACCTAAAATGTAGAAATAAAAAGGAAATTTTGAAATTTTATTCTTTAAAATGATTCTGAAAATAATTATCTCAAGCAAATTATTTTAAACAAAGTTATTCCCTTTTATATAATTCATTCCCACTATGTACATCAACCCAATACCTATAAGGTATTTATCAACACAATGTATACCAAAGTGTAAGGCTGACTAATGAATAAAATCTGTGTGAAGGATTTACTCTTGTTCTTATCTGCATAATTGTTTTTATCAGTAATTTAGATAAAATAGTAGAAGACTTGCTTTTTCAAATGTGTATGATATGATATCAAAAGGCATAGCTAATAAGTAGAACAACAGCCTCAGATCACTAATATATGATAGTCTGGAACAAGGGGGCAATTAATAAAGACTAAATTTTAAGAGATTAAATGCAAGTCCTACAATTATCATCCCAGGTTTAGAATAAATAGTATGGAAAAGCCCTGAGATATATAGTTAACTGTAAGTTCAATGACAGCCAACATCATGTCACTGATTATTTGAAAAGCAACTCAGTCTCAGACTACATTAAAAGAAAGAGTATCATATCATTCACTCATTAGTTACCGGTTTATTACTCTGTACTCTGCTCTGTGATTGATTAACCTGCCTTGAGAGGGTTTGTATTCCATTTGAAGGCCCAGTACATGGGTGGCTCAAGTTCCTTAACTCCAGAAAACAGAACTACATATAAAGACTTCTTCTTTTTTTTTTTTTTTTTAAGTTTAGAAAAGCAGATTTCAGATCATTTGAAAGGAATTATTTCTCAAATAAACTGAACTATTTGTTAACAGTGGTTATTAACCTGGAAAGTATTGGGCTTCCAGTTGCTGGAAATATTGACTTCAGGTAAATTATGTTCACCAAAAACTAACAGTGGTTATTAACCTGGAAAGTATTGGGCTTCCAGTTGCTGGAAATATTGACTTCAGGTAAATTATGTTCACCAGAAACTCTTCATGAGAATTTTTCCGTGAAAAAAAAAAAAAAAGAGTAAGAAAGGAACTGTACCTCTGGTAGGGGTTTGCCTACTTTCACCTGGATTGTGGAATCATGGGGGTACCTATCTTCTAGCTGTCCAAGCATGGTAGATGGAGGAAAGAGACGAGGGTGGGAGGTGGACAAGATAGGAAAAAGAGAAACTGCTATCACTAGTGGTCATAACAATGCAAGACTTGAAGTACAGAAATTACTGTCCAGAGAGGCCTTTTGAGAATGTTTCTTTGCTGTCTGTTATATCAACTCCCTGGGCTGACTGATGCCTTTCTGAAAACCCAGCACAAAGATATGGTTGAAACTTCAGTTATGACCAAGAATTTTAGAGTTAGACTTCTGTATGTCCTGAGTGTGACTGTCTGGAAGTTTGAGAGCTGTTTTTTAGAGATGCCTGCCTTGGATGGGAGCCCAAACTAAATTTCAAGATATCTCCAAGATCTATAGCAATTAGGTATTTCAAAGGCTCTAACACTGAGAAATGTTGTTGCATATCCCACCAGAAGTCCATTTCTACAAATTCCATGAATACGCCAACAGCATTAATCAAAGAATAAGATGGTACTTTAGTAAGCTAATTTTAATTGTACACATACTCTGTAACAGTGACTATTTTAGGCCTGGGTCTGGGAATATGCTAACAAGCAAAATAGAAAAAAAAAAGGTTGCCAGAATAAAGAGCTAATAAACAATTATTAAGTAAGAGAATAAGTAATATATCAGTAAAATAAGTAAAACAGATAGTATATCATATAATGTGACTGTACAGAAGTTTAAAGACCAGAGACTAAGTCAAAATCTAAGATCCCTTCACCCTCTGTAGCACTTAGACATGGTAAAAGACATGGAGACAAAGTTAGGAAGGGGATGGGAGATGTTGGAGGTGAAGGTGAGGGTCCTGGTTTGCAATTTCAAGTAAGGCAGTCAGGGATGGCCTCACTAAAAATATCACAGTAAGCCAAGACTTGAAGGAGAAGGAATGAGCCAACCGAGAATCCGAGGAAAGGGGGGTTCCAGGCAGAGGGGCCAAAGGAGCCGACTCTGAGGGGAGAACATGACCAGCGTATTTAAAGAGCTGCCAAGAGCTCTGTGTGGTTGAAATGAAGCGAGAGAGGAAGTCAAAGAGGAAAAGAGGGTCTTGGCCATCTCATCAGGCCTTGTCTGACTCTGTAGGGACTTAAGTTTATTCTAAATACGAATGAAAACCGTCGGAGGGTTTTGAACACAGAAGTGGCATGATCTACCTTTAAAATTACCCTGACTACTTGGTTTTTTCTTAAGCCAATGACAACAAGACTTAGGAAGAAAAGCCAAACAGACCCACAATTCATGAATTGCAATATTGTTTCTTTCCTGTGTTCATGGTCAGGTGTTAGGTGTTTAGCCATGACATGTACATTGTCATTCTAAATGACAAAAGGATAATGAATAAAGTTGATATTCAAATTTAAGTATCTGGTGAAGGTGTGCTGTCAAAAGTAATCCAAAACATGCTGGATGAGTTTTCTAAAACATCTCTAAAGTGGAATCATGTATATAATAGACAGGAAGGGCAGCTGTACATGGTATATAGTTTAAAACAGGATTGATCGCTGTTAGATAATAGTCAAGGTACAGGCTTCTCAGACATCTTCTCCCACGGAGAGGACCTGGCTTACAACTTGCTAGGGCTCTAATTAGTGTGCTGGCTTCTTGCCCTTACAACCCACTGAGACCTGTCCTCTTTCCAGGCTCTTTAAAAAACAATTAAACCGATACAGAGACAAGTTGCAAGCCATATACACCTCCCAGGAAGAAAAACTTTGCAGATTTGAAACAAAGATTCACGAACTCAGAGCTAACCAGGATAATCTCTGGACCAAGCTACAGCAGGTGGGACAAGATCTACAGGTATGAAATGTGGGAGCCTCCAGCCATCCAGACCATCTTGAAGTCTGACCACAAATCCTCTGGACAAGAGAATTTCACACCTCACTTTGATCAGCCTCTTTCCTTTTCCTTTTCTCTCTATACCCCAACCGACTCCCACTTTCATCCTCCAGACTATATCCTCTCCCTTTGTGAAATTAGTGCCATTGGTAGAGAACAGTATCCCATACCATTTAGCAACAAGGTACCATTGAGAAACAATAGGCCTGGGGCAAAGTAGTTGGTTCCTTTCAGCACTGATTCTTAAACCTTTTGATCTCAGCATCCCTTTTACATTCTTAAAAAATTTGGGAGATTCCAAGGAGTCTTTGTGGGTTATATCTATCACTATTTACCATAATCAAAATTAAGACTAAGAAGTGATTTAAAAATAAATTTATTAACTAATTAAAAAATGAAAATAATAAATCTATTATATATGTAACATTTTTAAACAGTAACTACATGTTTTTTTAAACTTAGAAGAGTGGCATTATTTTTCATTTTTTACAAATCTCTTTAATACCTGGCTTAATAAAAGATAGCCAACGTTCATAACTGCTTCAGCATTCAATCTGTTGCAAGATGATTTGGTTGAAGAATATGAGGAAATCTGGCCTCGCACAGATTTTGTAGTTGAAAAGAGAATATTTTAATAGCCATTTCAGATCATTGGAGATCTTCTTTGCTACTACACCAAAATGTGATAACAGTTTTTCTTAAAAAAATCGTTGCAATATTGAATCTGAACCCATATTTATTTTACACTCTGTTTTATTAAAATGCAATGTTCTATTATGTTTTTTGAGTGAATAACATACCATGTATGATTTTGAAACATCATACACTGGTTATTTGGAAGTTCCTTGAGCTATGCTGAACTTTCTAATGCTCACCCATCTGATTATACACGACCTGTTCCCCGCCCTGCCCCCAACACATTCATTAATATCACAGCTAATCTCTTCAGAAAAGTCTTTAAGAATTGGAAAGCTATGAAGTTCATGGTAGTGGATGCAAGGTTTCCAAAATTCTAATTTTTGCTCAAAATGTCAACTGTTACAATTGGCAACACATATTGTTAACAGTTTTCCTTACTGTGACATTTGCATTTCATTCTTTTTCAAGAAGATGTTTGCCAAATACTCAAATTTGAGTAACATTCAGAATATTTAGAACCTAAATATTTTCCAAATTCCTTGTGATTATTCCCTGTGATATTTTAATATCTGAGCCGTCTTAATTTCTATAGACAATTTTAGGTCGACATTGAATTGACAGCATAAAATAAAATTAATAGTAAAGTATTAATCTCATAAATTATGTTTGCCAAATACTCAAATTTGAGTAACATTCAGAATATTTAGAACCTAAATATTTTCCAAATTCCTTGTGATTATTCCCTGTGATATTTTAATATCTGAGCCGTCTTAATTTCTATAGACAATTTTAGGTCGACTTGAATTGACAGCATAAAATAAAATTAATAGTAAAGTATTAATCTCATAAATTAAAATTAAATTACTAAATTAAATCTAGTAAAAAAATTTCCTATTACAATATTAAAATTTAATGCATTTATGAAAAAAGTAAGATAGATGTTAATATCTTCATAAATAAAGCTTTCTTTCTCCAGGTAATGTTGCAGCCACTCCATCCTTCATCTTCCTCTTGTCAAAATATGGTTTCCAAGGGTGACCACAGAAAGGTTGAAAGGTTTTGGAAGGGAGGAGATTCTTCCCAGATCAAGAATGTCCCTGAGGATGGCTCTGAACAGAAACCTCTTCTTAACCCCACTGTGATCGACAGACGTCACGGAAGTCACGCAAAAGCAGAGCATGCTCTACCAAATTCAGAATCACCAGAGGCCATCTTACAGCCAAGCTCAACGCAAAGCACCAAGCCACAAAGCCAAGCACCAAAGACCTCAAAGGAAACCCTTCGCTCCCCATCTAGTTCCCAGGAAGGACTACTGCAGGACACCTCCCAAATTATCCCTGCTGGTATATGCAGTCCTACTCAGGCACCCACTCAAGAAAGGCAAGAGACAGTTAACATCCAAGAGGAAAAGGATGAGCTGGAGGAAGAGGAGCTGCAAGAATTATTGTCGAAACTTATGGATGCCTTAACTCTAGAAATGTCATCAGGTAAGATTTTCACAATAACGAGAGTGATGGCCAGGGATTAAAACATTTGATTTTATAACATTAGTCCAAAAGCTTTAATGTGAACATTAAAGGTGATAAACCATATGAGATTTTAGTATAGTACCTGGCACATATAAGAATTCAATAAATGCTTATTATTTTGTTATTGTAATTATTATTATCAATAGACCTAAAATATGTAACTGGGCAACCTGATGTTGCCATTTTAAAATGGGGGAAGGGGTAAGAGTAAGGCTTTCTTTTTCAAGACTACTTAAGTGTTCTATGTTATAAGAAGTATCACTTTCTTTGTAAATTATAACTCATTGCTAAATTCTGAAGGCTCTTTTTTCTAGTCCTTTTTTTTACTACAGTTATTTCTTCTGTTTTGGAATGACATTGTCTTATTTATAGAGTGTTTTGTTATCTTAATATAACAGTATCTATATCCTTTTCTTTTTAAGAAAGCCTAAGATCTTTCATGTTGGAGTAATCATCTCGAGACTTGTGATAAAACAGAAGATAACATTCTCACATGTTTCTTCATTAGAGGAGGCCTTCTCAAAATATTTCTGAATTGGTGTATTACTTTGCTAGACCTGCCATAACAAAGTACCACAGACTGGGTGGCTTAAATCAATGAACAAACAAAAAATTTCTCAGTCCTGCAGGCTAGAAGTCTGATATCAAGGTATCTTCTGAGTCCTCCCTCTTTGTCTTGTAGATGCTGTCTTCTCCTTGTGTTTTCATATCATTTTCCCTCTGCGCATGTTCTTATCCAAATTTTCTCTCTTTATAAAGACACCACTCATTTTGGATTAAGACCAACCCATATAACTTCATTTTAATTTAATTAACTCTTTAAATAGCGTATCTCCAAATGGAATCACATTCTGAGGTACTGGGGGTTAGGACTTCAATATATGAATTTGGGGAGGAAGACACAATTCAGCCCATAACAGTTGGTGAACTGTAAAATGGGTACATAATGTCAATTATACATTGAACTTTGTAGAACCAAGTCAATGAGATAACTATCTGGTGATTCTAAAAATCTCTACTGTGAAGGGAGTGGGAGTTAGAATTCTTGTATTAGAGAAAGCTAGACCACAATGATGCCAGAAGCATGTTCAGACTGCCAGAGACAAATATAAGATGGGAACTCCTTGTGCCTGATTCTTAGGCTGACACAAAATTCCACCTACTATATTTCCCTCTAAACATCATTGGAGTCATGATAAGTATTCAAAGGAAAGTCAATATCCATTTGACCTTTTCAGAAAAATTTCACATAAAAATTTGGCTTTTATTCTAGAAATCCATTTAGTATTTGGTATCTTTATCTCATTTTTATTTTTGGTTTTTGTTTCTCCAACTGAGCTTATGAGCTGCTGATTTCTAAAATATTGTGTTAGTTTGGCCATTGCAAACATAGTTGGCTATTTTGCGCATTTCAGATTACTCATAGACTAGATCTACTACACATATGTGGAAGAAAATATTCCAACATTGTGTGCGCTTTGATACCTAAAGATAAAAGATTCATGCATATTTTAAATGACTTTATCAAAGTCTGTCATTATATCATTCAAGGAAAATCATGAAAAAAGATTTATTTCTAAATTCAGATGATGTATAAAGATGCAATTAGCATTATTCAATCTTGTAGAAAACATAAAATATATAGTCTCAAAAAATTTACCCCTACTTTTATTTACAATTTAAATAGAATCACTGAGATGCTTCTACTGAAAGTAGGCATCATTAATTATAAAAAGTTCTTATGATATTAGCAGGAAGATGTACAATTTCCCTTTTTGTTATTAGATTATTGTATATTTGGGGATTATTTAGCAAATGCTAATTGATAAGATTTAAATTTATAGTCTTATTTATTTTATATTAGTCTTATTTCTTTGAGATTTTTAGACGTAAGATCTGTTAACTTTCATGGCTCTATTTGCATTTATTAAACACTGTTACTTCTCACTCAAATATTTCTTATTAAGCTTATATCCTTATTCAGTCTAGTATTGAATATGATCCTATATTTAAATTCTACTTAGTCATTGGCAATATGTATTATAAAAATATACTCCATAATTATGCATAATTTATGCATGCTTACCAGAATTACCCCAAATTTAATCAGAGACAGAAATTTGATAACCACACTGATGAAGATGTAGACAGGCAAAAAAATTAAATTAAGGCATTGGTTACCTTAGCTTTATTTCTATATTTGTCATGGATGAATCAGAAAACAGCAGGAAGTTCTGATCATTTTACTCTTAGTTTTCTTTCTTTCTTTCTTTCTTTCTTTCTTTCTTTCTTTCTTTCTTTCTTTCTTTCTTTCTTTCTTTCTTTCTTTCTTTCCTTCCTTCCTTCCTTCTTTCTTTCTTTCTTTTTTTTTGAGAATTGTTGGGAAAATGAGAAAGATCAACTGTCTGTAACACACTAAGATTTACTCAGACAGTGTCAACATATTCACCCAGTGTTGTGATTATCCTAGTAGCTGACTGCCCTTTTAGATTGGAGCTTTACTAAGGAGTCAACACATTTTGGAAATTAAAATGAACTTTATATTACTTAAGGCATAATAAGACCAAAACAGCAAGCCTGATAGTCAGTTTGGGGGCAGTTGTTGACATTAACTGAATAGTTAATTCAGTATTAAGATCTCAGATAATAGGATTTCAAGTGATTATGAGAACTGAATGGAAAAGAGAAAGAATATAGAAAGGGTTCTTAAACTTCTTTAACTTCCAAATGTAGGATTTAAAATCAGTAGCAATTTGTTCAAACCTGCAGTAAAGGAATTAGATTTGAAAAAGTATCTAATACTACTTGCTTCTCTGGTGACACACAAAAAAGGACATAATATTCTGGTCTTACTTTCTCATTAAATTATTTTCTTTCCATTTTGTGGAAAGTTTCCTGTGTACATCTCTGAAATTCTTTTCCCAGCTTCTCTCCCATATCTTCTTGCCATGTATTTGCCACTGTAGGTTTCAAGGATGAGAAGGGAAGGTGAGGGAGTGGAGGCATGGAATTAGGGGGACTTGGTTAAGGGTACAGATGTCGAAGGACTATTCCTGTTCTTTTCTTCCCCAGCTGGAGCCATCATCTAAACTACGATTTTAAAAAAATTGGAAAATGAAACTTAAACTTTAGCAAATTGTAAAAAAATTAAGAACAGTGCTTTAGCAACCCCTGAAAGAGAAGTGCAGCACTGTATCTTTATCTCACTCGTTTAGAAGTTAGTCTTCTCAAATGTTGCCTGGTAATCCTAGGGGTGTGAAATCTTAGTAAATCTCCATGAAGGCTGAAAAAAAAATGCCTCGTTTAATCATCATTTATTCACTCATTTGTTCATTTAACAAATAGTCATCAAGCACTTACTATGTGCAAGCACTGTGCTGGATGATGGGCATTTATTTTGAAAGGGACAGATATATGTTTTTGAAACACTTTGGCATTGTGTGGAAGGTGGCTTGGAGAAGGGCATGAGTGAGGAAAGAGACTGCGTAAGGGCCAGTTGTAATTTAAGCAAGAAGTGATGGTGGCTTGACCTGGTGGATGGTGATACATTTATTGCAAATGAGGAAAAGCTGAGGTGGAGGTGGGCAAATCAAGAGTTTTGTTCTGAGCACATTAAGTGTCAATTGCTTGAGAGACATCAAAATGGAGATATCAGAACGGCAATCAACGTGTACCATCTGGAGCTCTAAGAAGAGGTCTTAGGACAGAGTAGATATTAAATACTGTTGGTTTGCTTAATTAATTATTGTTGTAATGAAGACATGGGCTCAGAAAAGTAATCATAGATTAGATAACCCAATACTTTTAAACCTTTATATCTGTCATTCTGAAAGCCTGCTCTTACATCCCTGATTCCTTCAGAGACTAGATAGATTTTTAATGACATTCAAGTGAATTATTTTCTCATTGTGATATCCTCTGGACTTTTGATATCACAGATACTTTCATCTAATATCTCAGTAGGCCTCCACCTATGTGCTATATTAATTCAGTCCCTACATGTACTGAATTCCAAATATATGCCAAACAACATGTTAGGTGCTAGGTGCATATCTCTGGCTATTTTTAACATTTCAATGGACTGGAACTTAAAAAAAAAAAAACAACCAAACAATGAGAAAAACTCCCATGTATGAAATGAATTATTGCTTCCCAGTTTATCGATTGCTATATTTTAAATGTTTATCGCTGTGGGCTGAGAAACAGAATATCCTAAAATAAGTTTGCCTCTGGACAATAAAGTACTATTTATTCAAGATCTTTGTCATTCTGGAGCAGTGATAGAGAATAGATAGAATTTTAAAAGGCATGAAAACTCTCCTCTGTGTTCAACAGAAAAATGCACAGATGGAGCTACAATATAAATCATGTAACTAAAGTGTATAAGTAACAAAATAAGCCTTTCCATGGCTTCACTGACTGTGATTTTATTTTTTATTAATTACACACACAATATTATATGACATATTCATTGTAAACTTAAAACACCTAAGTGCAAAGATTTTAAAAATATGAATTTATTATCATACCCTTCACTCCTTGTCACCTGTTTTGCCAAGGTAACCACTGTTAACAGTTTAGTCAGTTTTTCTTCAAATTTTTTTCTTTTCTTATATGTATGTCTTTACTTCCTCAGCATAAGTTAGATTATAATTACTTTTGCTTTTTTCGCTTGACAATATATCTTAGACTTTGAGCAATGTCATTTTTTAAATGTGGCATAACATCCACAGTATAAGTATACCATGATTTATTTATTGGTATGTAATTAAGTTACCTCCATTTTTATTATGATAAAAATGCTTTGGTGAGTATTCTTATAACATATATCTATGCAGTCATATGTGAGTGTGTTTGTAGAATCAAATCCTAGAAATTGATTTCTTAGGGTAAAAATTATGCATATCAAACTTTTGGTTGATAACTGCCAAATTGTAGATCTTTCTATAGCACAACTCCTATTACAATAGTTTATATGGGACCATTTGAACCATAGCTATAGAGCAGAAGTTCTCAAAATGTGGTCCTAGACCAGCAGCATCAGTATTACCTGGGATCCTAGTTCTACTCTGTCATAGAGCTTTACTGAGATCAGCTTGGGAACCTAAAGGTACTTTCTTTAAAGGACTCTTCTGTTCATTAATTTCAGACCCACAGTCTTCATACATGGATCTGTATTGTGGAGCTGAGCGAGTGTGCAAGGCCTTCTCTGCCCTTGTTGATCAAATCACCTTGCCTAACTTGAAGTGAAAAGGAGTCCAGTCTCAAAGGCCCCATGGGGTGATGATGAAATGTATTTTTTAAATCTGTACTAAAAGAATTACATCTTCTACCCTCTCTCTTGATAGTATGGAGTGAAGCATGAAGAGAAGTTTTATTTTTTAATCTCCCTACTCATGTGGCTTAGTTCTTCAGAGTGAAGCCTTAAGAATGAGGTGTGGTAGAGGAAAATGGCAAAAAGAGGCCAAGGTAAATCCAGATGTGCCGAGTGAGCTATTCTTACTTTGAATACATTGGTAATAATATTCAAATATGGAATCTACATAAATTCATGCAACTACCTTCTTCAATATTATCTAAATTACCAAAATGATGACCTAATTTTCTATCTGGATTCTCCTTCTGGAGAATAGACTTACAAAAAACTAAACACACACACACATATGAGTACATGCAGAACTGGTGTAATCTGAATAAATCATGTGGATTCTACCAATTTTAACTTTCTAATTGTATTATTTGTACTATAGTTATGCAAGATGTTACCATTAAGGGAAACTGGATGAAGGATATACAGGATGTCTTCGTATTATTTCTCACAACTGTATGTGAATCGAAATTATCTCAAAATAAATTTGTTTTTAGAACATGAACATTTCTTGCTAAACCTCAAACCCAATGTGTTTGGCCAAAATATCTGTATGTTTCCTTTGTATGTTTGTATGATTATGGTAGAGATGCTTAACTTAATAATGTCCAAAGTAATAGTTAACATTTTTTTAACTGTTAGAGTACTTAGTTTCTAAGCACCTTACTAATCATTTAATTCTCACAACAAATCTAGCAAGTTGATATCTCATTATATGAGAAAAGTGAGGCACAAAGAGGGTCAGTAACTTGTCCAAAGTTGTTTGTTAGTACTTAATGAAACTGAAATTTGAACCCAGCTCCTGAGCCTGTACTTTCTCTACTGCTCTGTACTTTCTCTCAGTAAATATCATTATGATTTTGTTGTTTTACGTATTATCTTGATGTGCAGTCTATGTTACATTTAGAGAGACTTTGGATTTTTATTTTTATGATATATAATTTCTAGTACTGTTTCCAGAGTGAAATGATGTCCAATTGGATAGGATTAGGACTAGGTTATCCCCGTTCAATTTTATCCTAATATTTTTGAATTTGCTTTTCAGAATATTTTTTGTTGCTCAACATATTCACTCTCCTTACTTTATCCCAGTTTGTTCCTTACAAGTTTGAAGCATGCCCTAGAGCATCAGTCCACAAGCCACGGCCCATGGGCAAAATCCTGCCCACTGCCTGTTTTGTACAGCTGTGAGCTAAGAGTTGTTATTACATTTTTTAAAATAATTGAAAAAAATCAAAGGAAGATTAATATTTTGTGACACTTGAAATGAATGGATTCAAATTTCAGAGTCCCTTAACAGTTTTATCGTAGCATAGCCATGCTCATTTATTTACGTATTGTCTATGGTCGCTTTCATTCTACAAAGGCGAAATTGATTCATTGTGACAGGGACTGATGGCCCACAAAGCATATAATGTTTGCTATCTGACCCTTATAGAAAAATTTGGTAGACCCTGTTGTGTAATACCAAAGTGAGGGAGTGGTAAGGGTCAGGCACTGTAAGTATTATGAGTGCCAAATTTTCAATGATTCATAAGAAGTAATAAGTTTATGTGATGTTTTTAAGAATATGATGAAAGATGTTGGAAAAAGTAGCCATGAAAGCAAAACCATGAGCCCAGGTAAAGATGGCAGCCAAGAGTGGCAGCTTTTAATGTATTCATTCTCCTATCCAAGTATTGCTGAGTCTGGGCCCTTCCCAATTCCTTCCCCAGTTTCGTTCCCTCTGTTGAAGGCTTTGGCTGGTCTTCTGATGCAGCTGTGTCTTCTAAGGACCCTTTAGGTAAAATTTTCAGGTTATGGAGGGCCTAAATCGTCAGTGCAAACATTTACTGAGGCTTCCTTTGGACCTGATAAAAGCAAGTGGATTGCTAACATATCTGAAATGTATACTGGTTGTCAATCATTGGTTATAACAGTCATCATGATTGGAGAGATGAGAGTAATTAGAGGTAAAAATAGCAATGTGTCCAGAACTCAAATTTGCCAATTGGATTTTTCTGCTATGAACCACATATTTCTTCTTATGTTTTCTTTATATTATTTTCTTATAAAGCTTTTCATTTTACTTTTAGCTTCCTTTTCAATGCAAAGTGTAACCAATTAAAAAGTTTTAATATTTAATTAAACAAAATATGCTAATTGGGAAATAATTTATACTTACTGCTATTTTATTAGAGTTTGGATTATCATTAATGGTAACATTAGATATTGAAATAAAGAGACTTCAATAACGTTACTTGGGGTCTAGAGCTTTTATTAATTTTGTTTCCATTAGAGAATGCTTTATTTACCAGTTTTTTGTTTTGTTCTGTTTTTTTGCTTCATTCAGTTCAAAATATTCAAAAAATATTCTTTCCAATGAGATTCAGGTATTACAGATCATCAGAAACTGGTAACTCATATATTGTGTAAGCAATCTAGTGGTTAATAGCTTGGAAGTCATGCAATGTATTCAAGTTAAATGTATGGTACTCTAATTAACGATGTCAAGCATCTCAAAACAAATGATCAAATGAATACAAAGACTCTGAGTAGCTCTCATTTCCTACTCATCTTTGGAAGCTATTTTAACTTTCAGACAGTGAAATGATCAGGCAGTAATGTCATCACTTGAAGAAACATGCTAGCAGCCTAAAAGAATGAAACTAAGTATTCTGAATGTGACTTAATATTTATCTCTGGACATTTCTACCATTTCAGGTAAATAAGTGATCAGTAGTCAAGAAAAAAATATAAATTTAATATTCCAAGATGTGAGTTAGCTCTGAGGTTAGATTTATTTTCTCTTCATTTTCAGGCCACTGGTCATTTTTCCAAAGAACTTAGACCCACTCCTGTGCATGTGAATGTTTAGCAAATCTTCAATCAACTCTTTCTTCTTTAGGGAAGGAATTCTTAGTTGCTGAGAATATGCACCTGTAAATAGAGAAAAGGAATGAATCTTTAGGTTACCAAATTATTTTCAGGTTAATTAAATATCAATATATTGGTTTTAAAAGGAAAAATTGCTGTTTCTGTCACTCTGCTGTAAAAATTCTGTATATATTTATTGTAGAGGTATGTATGCAAAGTTTTGTGTCCTATGTAGTTTGGTCATATAACATAAATTAAGTAAATTATAATAAATACATTTCCTTGTTATGATACATTACGATATATTTTTCTGATTAAAAAAGTAAAAATGGTCATTATTTAATTTTTAATATAAAAACATAAAGAAAAAACTTAAAACCTTCCATGATATAATCTTCCTGAAATAACCAGTTTTATGCATAAACACTTTATACTGTAATTTATTTTGTCATTACCCTATCATGGGACATTTAGATTATTTTCAAATTTTCCATTACTATAAATAATATTGCAGTGAAGAGCCTCATACTGCATCATTGGCTACATCTCTCAATGTTCTCTCAGAATAGATTTCTAAATAGGTAATTTCTGAACATGTTGCTTAGGAAATTTCTTGAAATAAAGTAGAAAATCAAGCATTTGTGAATCTAATTATTTATATAACTGAAACATTGTTTTTTTTCTGCTTAGTGTTTTAAAAATAAGCAGTATGAACATTTGCCTGCTAGTTAGACAACGACTGCAAACATCATCAAATTATAAATCTAAATTTTAATTTTCTTGTCATGGAGGAAAGCAAAGACTCATAATTTTTCTAGAACATGCAAACTGTTCCTCTCAGTGGCACAGCAATATTTATTGAAGGAAGAGGCCATCATTTTTGACACACACAAGAATATACTTCAAAATCTCTTCATTTGCATTAAAGCTTTTACTAACACATATGCTAAGCTCAACTTTACTATTTTCTGATTGGAAATTATCATCAGCCTAACTTTTTTCCTAAATCAATCTCTCTCTCTCTCTCTTTCTCTCTCTCCCTCTTCTCCTTTCACATAATGCATCATATTTTAGTGGTTAAGCCTGGTGTACCTTCTTCACACCTTCCAGATATTTTAACATTCAGTTATTAGCTCATATTTTTCTAGACTAAATAACAATAATCTTTTGAGCCTTCTTAAATGATGATATCTCTAGCCCTTAGACTTCTTTGGTATTCTCATGTCTAGACCTCCCCTGTTCCTGCTGCTCATTGTTGTAAACAGCTACCATGTCCAGGTCATCCATCACCAGCTCAGTAAGCTGTCCTTGGGGTAAAGCTCTTCCAGAGTCTTTCCATAATTAAATACATGTCTTTTGTAAATTTCTTTTTGCTGATCATTGTTGTAAACAGCTACCATGTCCAGGTCATCCATCACCAGCTCAGTAAGCTGTCCTTGGGGTAAAGCTCTTCCAGAGTCTTTCCATAATTAAATACATGTCTTTTGTAAATTTCTTTTTATAGAGTCACATAACATTAGAATGGAGAAACTGAAGAGACTTTATGGGTCATCTAGTTCTTTCCATATCCCCCTTTTTCAGGTGAAGAAACTGAGGGCTCAATAAGTTAATTAACTTGCCCAATTACATAGCTGTTTGATATTCCTTGTTTTTATATTTGTTTTTTTTATATTTTCTATTTTATATTTGTTATGACCCAATCATAACAAATATGATATATTCACGTAAAAAATTATACACAAGTTTTATGTTTTTGACAAAGCATGATTTATAGCAACATGTCTCAAGTGTATTTAAACCATTTAATTTGAAGAGACCAAAATAATAGAACCTTTTGCATATTACGTAGGCACTTATTTTAGTTCTTTCCTTCTGCTCTGATGATGTGATTTCTCTGGAGAACAATAGAGACAAACACTTCTTTACCCTTGCCACTATCCCAACCTGGTAGGATACAAACCCCCAAAGGACAAAAGAAAAAATTAGTGGAGAATTTGTGCAGGTACATCTAGAGCCCAGTTGAGCC